ATATGAATAAAATTAATTTGATTAGTTTTATTATAATTAATAATCATAAATTAGATCCTTCAATTAATATTTTTTTAAATTTTAATTTACTATAAAATAATAAATATTTACTAAAAGATGGCGCCACTAAAAATTTTAATGGAAACTATCAAAATAAAAAATATTCTTAATTAAATAATTAAAAATAATTAATAAATTATCCACTTAAAATATTTTAAATATTAATTTAAAATAATTTAATAGAAAAAAAAACAAAAAAAAGTCTAAATCAAATACAAAATTTATTTCTATTATCACTAACTAGATGGCAGCATTATAGTAACGTTTTAACCGAGCGACAAATCAATGCGGTTTTACTACAGTCTTAAAAAAATATTAATAAACTAAAAATTAATAAATATTAATAAATTAGAAATATTAATAAGTAGTCCGAATCCCTAAATATTTGACATTTTAGTTCCACTCGTCTATAACTTAAAAATGAAAAGAACGATATCGGCCATGAAAGAGATTTGCTGACGCTTCAACCACGTCAATCCGATTATAAAAACGATTTCAAAGATGCGTTTTCATCTTCTTTTCAATAGGGCAAATACCGAAATAGAATAGACTCTAGTGGAATTTTATGGATGAAATTAAAAAAAAAAAAAAAACATGAATTCATCTATTCTCCCGCAAGAAGTCGCGACTACACTTTTAAAGTTTTTACTTGTGGAGTCGCGTGTAAAATCGAAGGGGTTCGGGACATATCTGAAAGTAAAATCCACGAAGCAATTAGAATAATTACGCTAGACATTCTTGATGGAGCATGACATGAAATCGAATTTCGATAAGTGTACCGCGCTGTTAATGGCGCATACATAGAAGTCTATTAATACCGTACAAAATCTCTTTGAGTTACTCAGTGTGTGATACAAAAACTTCTAAAGCACTGTGATTAACGTGTCTTTCACAATAATCTCACGAAATCCCACTATTCATTTTCGGAAATCTTATGTGTCTGATGATTTTCTCGAATAGCTCACAGGAGGACTGAAATTGTTCCCGCTATAGTTTTAGCTATAAACTTTACTCAGATTAATAAATTAAGTTTCTACGCAATAAAACATCCCGCAAGTTTTATCATTAAATCCTAAGATATGCGTTGAATTTAAAATAATTTCTACACTCGATATTCATATGGCACACATTTTATGGTTTAATAACAGAGAGGTTGCGGCCGAAGTTTTCATCTCTCAAACGTGAACGTCGAACGTCGAGCGCCGCTTATAAGATAGCGGCGCTCGACGTTCGACGTTCACGTTTGAGAGATGAAAACTTCGGCCGCAACCTCTCTAATGAAATTTATTCATCTTTCTTGAATAACTGAGTTTTTATTTTTTCTTGAAGATTTTATTCCTGTTTTTTTTTTTACATTAACTTTTGAAATACACAGAATAGAAATTCCGCTTTATTAAAATTTAATTTATACAAGAAAAATTGCGAAAATCAATACGTAGTTAACTTGTACTACGTGACCGGTACTATCATTCAACTAATCAATGAATTATATCAATTGTGAAATTCAAACAAGATAACGACCTAGATCTCTTTTTTTCTCGCTAGAGGGCGACACGATAGTTAAAATTCAAATATTTAAAATATTTTTTGTAAAATTATATATTTTATTAATAATTTCGGAAGAACAAATTGCTAAATAATACATTTTTTATTTATTTTCTAGTAAAATTTTATATTTTAATTTATTCAAATTTATTAATTAACATAATTTTCTTTTTTACATAGACATCGATAATTACTTTCCACATTAATTAATCAGGGTAACAAAAGTTTAATTTCATTTTAATATTCTTAGAAACGGAATGAATTAAAATCTCTTTATGCATACCTTTAGAATTGCAAGTCTCAAAGCTTTCCGTGTAGCTTCTAAATTGCAGTTTAAATCAAGCTTGCATGTTTTTCATACTTAGATTTTAATGGAGATGAGATCACTTCTCCGAATAATAAAGCCACATTAGCGCGAGATTACACATTAAAAGTAACAAAGAATAAGCTTTGAAGATTAAATAATTCTCTAAGGCAGTTCCAGAGGATCCAAGTTCGAGTTCGGGCCAGCTAACATTTTTATATATAAATAAGAGGACTGGATATATATTTTCCTCATTACTTCCACAATGGGTATGGATAAGTGATACTTCTAGTACTCAAGGGGTAGAAAATGTTTATAAAAAGTTTCCTAAACACAATCGATTAATAATAAAATCAAGAGTACTTATTGCATTTTAAAATTCAAATTCTTTTACAGTATATGTAATTTTAACATAAGAGCAATGACTTGTGTATTTTTTTTCTTCCCTTCATTAGCTATTTTTTTCCGGAAATATCTCATTCAACAGGAATTTGCTTATCTAAAGTTCTATTTTTTCCCCCTTTCTCCATGCTTCCTACCGACATCCGCGATCCTAACAGGTTTAGTCAGAAATGGAATTTATGCAACAATAAAAGACAACCTTCGCATGTTAAGGATAACTTATTCATGCGGCAACAGACGGAGATTATCATACAAAATAATTCTAAAAACTAAAGTATTATTGTAAAAGTATTTTTTTTTCTTTGTGAAACGGAAAAAATACAACTTACAACTCTTATTAGATTAAACATTTGGGTAAAGTTTACATTTGTAAATAAACCAATTTAAATTAACTTCTACCAAAATTTCATGTATGATAAGGCCTACAAGTCCATTTAAAACAAGTAAATGTGACTTATATACTAGTAAATAACTTATAATTTTGATATTAACAAGTCGATAGTTTGAGTAACCTCATATTGAATGATTAATGGTTCCCAAGGTAAACTCTGGTATAAACAAGGAAGAATGTGTCCCAATAGCTTACTTTTATGAAGTCGTTTTATTGTCCGGACATATATAAAAGCACCCGACACATATATGAAAATATGTCGGATCGTATCTATGCATAGAAATATTTGGTAGAAGTTACATTTAGATACTTTTAAATATAGAGAAACGATCTGAAAGTAACATCTACCAATAATTTATGAATTATTGGTCCACTGCAAAGGGGTTAAAACGAAGAAAAATCTCAAGAAATATTCATGCATTTGATCATTTAAGCTTAGAACTGTGTAGCAAAAATAGAGCATTGTGTATAAAATTACTGAGGTTCAAAAATATTTTTTCCACTCTATTGAGCCTTAAATGGTACGTATAAAAATAGATTTCTATGACTACTTTCACTGCCGTTTTGTGTGTAACAAAATTCACAATGTAAATTCTGTACAAATCATTCTTTGTATTACTAATTAGCGACTTTAGCGTCAATTAAGTTCGAGAATGGGTTCGAATCTCCATACTCTATATCCTCAAGTTAATGAAGAATTATATCTTATCGAGTGATTTATTATATAGACAATATATTTAGTTGCATAAAGTTGCAACTTGTAGAATAAAAGTGGATTTTGTCGCAGTTATCAGCGCAATATGGATTGTATAGAATTTAAAAATTTGTCCATTATGGATGAGCGTGAACGTCTTCAAAATCGATCAGCATTATAATAAATGGAAACAAAGAGATTCAATTCGAACTATCTATAGAAATCACGAGAATTCAGTTCAAATTTGAATAAAATCTTTCAAGAGAAGGGGATATCCCATACAAAGCGACAGATGCTATTACTTCAACATTATAAAGTCGATTAATTATGGCTAATGAGCTCAGTAGTTATCATATATTATTTCCTTTCCGCTAAAGATTGCAAAATGCGTGTTCTAATTGTATAGATTACGTAACATTAAATAAAACGTAACAAAAAGTTTTTAAGATTAAAAGGGTTAAAAATTATTTTATATGATATAAAATGGCAACACTGTAAAACTCTTGCCAAACGAAAGTTTGAGGTCACGTGCCCGCGCGAATTCCATCGATCGTCGTCACATTCCTGAGGTCGTCATGACAACATTTCTAAAGAACATTGCGCAAGTTTGAAAATGTTCGTGTTTAAATTCGCATTAAAATATCCGTTAAATATATATATATAATATTTAATTATATACTTTTCAATTAATTTAGGTGTATAGAAATCACGTGATTAGCGGGAAGAGAAAGAGTACAACGACTCACTGTATGGGGTCGATGTCCGATCTAACAAAAAAACACGGGCATAAATACGAATAAAATTTTTTTTAAATTATAAATTAATAAATATATAAATAATTAAATACTTTTATGATAAATTCTTTCAATAAATATACACGTCGTTTAGTTTTTAACATAAAAATATGACAAGAAAATTTTTTTTTGTTCGCGAAATGTTTTCTTTAGAATGAAAGTGTAATATAAATATTTAAAACGTAGCCAAATTTGTAATTATATTGTGAGAATTTTTATGGTTAAACAATCTGGAATTATTCAAATGAACAAAAAAAAAAAAAAGCCCATCGGCCTTTGTTATGTAAAGGAATGCGGAGCGACAAACTTGACCCAAAGATGCTTACTGTCAACAAAAATGGATAAAATAAAACGTTGTAATCCTTACCTGTCTATTGAGAAAAGAAAAAATTAAGAAAAAAATTCTCGAAACGTTAATCCTAAGAGCTCGTTTAACAAACATATCTCTTCCGTCAACACGAATCAGCCTCCCGACTGTCACATGAAACGAGGTCATGTTTTAAGAACAAAGGAAGTGACTGACACATTCACTCCCGCCATCTCTTTGTTCCCCCGCCTGTAATCACGTGTTTAATATAAGCCATGACGATTGGACAAATTCGAATAATTTTGTGATGTCATTTCATGCTACACTTTTATTGGGTTATGAATAATCTTATGTCGTGACGTATTTTCGATATTTATGTCTGGTTGGATTTACGATTTCTCTTTAAATTACGTCAGCGAAAAATTTTGCTTCATTGGCCTTGAAGATCGAGTTTATCACGTGAGTAAGTTAGTTATTTCTTATTGGTTAATGGAGGGGGAAGTGTTTTCTTTACTTATTGACAGTGGATGCGCCATTAAGTTTCCTAGGTATTGTATCATTTTTACGTCGCCCTTACACCCGTATCGGTAAGTTCTTTAGTGATAAACACTGATATATTTGTTTGTTGTACACATTACTTCATGTATTGATATTGATTCAAATCAGCTGATGGTTAAACATATTCTATAACAGCTACAAACTTTCCATTTAAGCCACACTTTTACATCATTTATTAATTTAAAAAATTATCCAGTTATGATCTTGATTTACTCATGCTTTACAGTGACATTTTCAACATTAAGTTTTATAATAGCAAATTTCAATATATTAATTTCACTGTATAACTAGTACAATTTTAAATCATCATCATCATCATCATCATCATGTTTCAAAGCATGCATAATATATATGAAGTTGCAGGTTATTGACTATGTTATTAGAGGTCAATCATAAAAATGTCATTTACAAATATTCAGCAAATTATTCACAACTGGATCAGAATTTAATGATTTAAATTAAGAAATGGTTTTTCATGTATGAATGAAACATAGTGTCTAGCTGATTCATCTGTTATATTATGGCCTATTTGTATATCTAATACCATAGTTTAATTGATATCAACATTGTGTTTAATTGCAGTCATTGAGAATGCAAATCATATTTTAGTTATCAGTTTAATTTGTTGTAAATATTTTCTTTTTGTTTTATTATGTTAAATTAATTCATGAAATGTATTATATTTTCATTTTTAGTAGACACGATTAATTATCTTCAGTTCATTGATACGATACAGAACTGTTCAATGTATATGGATCTAATTTATGGCTGTTGAAAGGGAGATTGACAGTCACATTATTTTTTATCCCTGGTGATGTTATTTATTAATTTTATGATCATATTTTTCTTATAAACATAGTAATGAATTCAAAACATTTTTTTAAACTATATTTTTGAGATTAAAATGTTTTTTTTTTAAACTTTCACTTTTATCATAAAACCTATAAGGTATTTTTAAATTGTTGAAATATTCGAGTAATTATTTAAAATTGCCGCATTTTGTGTTTTTTTCTTAATATTATTTTAGTCTTAATTGAATTGATATAAATAGATGTATTCCAGATTAGTTATGTGGGATTTGAGTTTTTCTTTCAATACAGAATGTCAGTTCTTACTTAAATATATTGTTACTAATCTATTATTGGATTAATAGAAATTATTGAATTAATAGAAATATCAAATTATCAATAGTAAACATAGATGTAAAAGACTTTTATAATGATCTTTCACTTTATTTTAACATTTAAAGAACTTCTAAGTATGCATCTGTCTTAGTAAGATTTTCACACATTATTAATGTATGATAATCTTATTAAAAGCGATTGATTTTGTTTAATTTCTTCCTTATATAATATCAAATGAGAACATCATAAAAGGTACAGGGATCAATAGGTACGCAATAAATCTGATTGACTATTGTTTTTTAATGCTACATTAATAATTAAATTCTTATTTACATGATAAATTTATCTTTATACTTGTAAGTATAATTCATTTTTGAACTAGAAAAATGTAGACAGAATAAATGTGAGACCATTATTTTGATTTCTTTAAATTTTTCAGAATGTTTTATTTAATAGAATTTTAAATTTTAGATTTTCCTTATCAAATAACATAATGAACATTTTAGTAAAATAATTGTATTTGTATTTTACAAATAATTTTAAATGTTATCGGAGATTCAGAATGAAATAACCAAGACATTATACATCAAATTCGGTAAATAAAATTTTTCAATGATAGATTTCATCGTGTAAAGAAATAATAATATAAAATATTTATTTGTTTGCTTTTTTATTCCTAATTAGTATAAAAGCTGAGTTTTAAATTAAAAAAAAATTAAAAAATATCTTCTAATTATAAAGTTTTTGAAATGTCATTTATCTGTATTCAAAATGAGTTTTATTATTTTATTTTATTTGATTTTTTATCAGATTTTTAATTAAAAATTTATACAAAAGTCTCTATAAATTTAGTGCAAAACTAAAGTAATTTAATATTAAAGAAAAATATAATATTTTGCATAGATAGATATTATATAAAAGACATATTTTCATTTTTTAAAATTATTAGAATTAATAAAGTAATACTATTAATAATATATAGCTTTAGTATAAGAAATAAATGAAAGAAAACTATTTCCTGTTTTATTTTACTTGTATAGTGACGTCCGGTGTAGTGACATTCTCAAGTTGCCAATCTTCCATCTTTTGGGTTGAGAAACTGCTTTATCTGAGACTGAGAATCTTTGTACAAATTTTTATTTCTCAGTCTTGCATTTGAAAATCAACCTTCCCTAGCCGTAAAGTTGACATCATCTATAATCTAAGGTTAGCAAATATGATATATGTGTATAATTTTTTACAAACATTTAAAAAAGTAGACAAAATAAAAAGTTATAAACAATGTATAAATAAAAAGATGTTTTAAAATAAAAAAAAATCACATTTGAAATAATTAAATGTAGAGAATATTAGAATTCATTGGGAGGTTTTTTCATCACTTCTTATAGGAAAAATTCTATCTTGTTCCTGACAAATTTGAATAAGTTTAATCAATTTTTGCAAATGACATCAAAACACCACAAATCCTATTTATTTCAGTCTTACTATCAATATATGCTTCTAGCATGATATTAAACATATATTTGATGTATGTTTATACCAAATGTTAATTTGATATGTGCAAGGCACAAATAACGAAAAAAATTTATTGTTCTTAGATATGAGGTCTGTTCAAAAAATACACGGACTGATGTCATAAAACAAAATGTACTTTATTTAGAAGTTACATGTCTGGGTTCCCTTCAAAGTACTCTCCTTCCCAATGCACACACTTATCCCAATGATGTTTCCACTTGTTGAAACAGTCCTGGTACGCTTCTTTTGTAATGTCCTTCAGCGCCTTTGTTGCATTTGCCTTAATCTCAGGAATCATCTCAAATCTTCCTTTCAAGGGTCTTTTGAGTTTGGGGAACAAGAAAAAGTCACAAGGAGCAAGGTCAGGTGAGTAAGAAGGGTGGGGAAGAACAGTGATAGAGTGTTTGGCAGTTCTGAGGACTGAATGGGCTGGAGCATTGTTGTGATGGAGAAACCAGTTGCCACTCCTCCACATTTCTGGTCTTTTGCGACGGATGACGTCCCTCAGACATTTCAGAAGTTCAATGTATTAAGTCTGGTTCACTGTGGAGCCTTGGGGAGGTACTCGTGGTGAACAACACCCTTAGCATCAAAGAAAACTGTCGGCATCACCTTGACATTGGATCAAACTTGATGAGCTTTTTTGGGTTTGGGGGACCACTTGAAACATGCTGTAAGCTTCGTAGCAACATCACCGTAAGCTGTGTTGAACATAGCAGATTTTCCAAGTTTAACACAGGTCATTCATTCTGAAATCCGACAAATGAAAAAATTGCACTTTACTAAAAACCACATAGCTAATCGACAAGTAAAGATATCTGTAATCGGGAAATGGCTTTATCACAAGAGGATCTGTACAAACCAAGTGACACCAAGCAGATTCCCCTGGAACCAACTGGAGCCGTGCAATTCAAACAGTCCGTGTATTTTTTTCAGACTTCATACATTGATAAAATTTAAATTTCTATCTATTCTTTTTATTGATAAATTTTTATACAGTAGAGCGTCGTTTATCCGAATCAATTGGGGACTGGGGTGGTTCAGATAACTTACTTTTCGGATAACGAATCATGTACGAAAAAATATATTAATTTATCCCATGTTGAAATTTTTCTCCGTTGCGTGTCGTTTCGCGTTGAATTTTCGTCGATGTTAAGCCTAACGAAGACTATTGTATCGTTAAAAATTATTTTTTTATTTTGTAAAAACAAAATAAATATATTGAAAAATATAAAAACAATAAAAAATTATACTTCAGATGTTAATTTAGTATCAAAAACGTAAAATATTTGAGTAGCCCAAGACATAGCCGAAGATTGCAGCGCCACAGCACTAGCGAAAATTTAAATTTGCCGACTGGAATGCTTTCGGATAACAGACGTTTCGGATATTCAGCTTTCGGATAAACGACGCTCTACTGTAATTGATCATATTGTCATTGAATTGATCAGTTAGATGTCATTATTAAAAATTTTGAAATAATCATGATGACAGAAATTTATAATTGATTTGTAATACATTTATCAAAAGATAAAGTTTGAGTTGATAAAATATGAACAAATGAAGAAAAACCATGTTACTTTCTCTCCTTTAATTTACATATATATGGTCTGTTTTGCTATATAATACTTATACTAAAGTATCATTATTATATTTTTGAGAGCAGTATTAACTATATTATATGGCTATATTCACTTTCAGGAAGTTGTTTCATATTATCATAGTAGGTTGTGAAGATACAGAAAGATGAATGTGGTTAATATTTTGTTTCTAGTAAATAAGTGCTTCAGATTTTCTGATGCCAAGTCTTACACAAAATTTCTATGCAATTTAACTTGGTTTGTATGATGAATAATTTGTTTTAACAATTTCATTTGGAAGTGCAATGAACAGAATGATTGACAGAATATTAAACAAGTTGAAAAATATTTATGGCTGCCAGTGATCTAACCCAGTAACTTATTAGAATGCTTCAGTTGAATTTCTTACTGATTCCAGAAGTTTACCATAAATCCTCTAATAGATGCCCCGGCATATGAGACCCAGCATCTATTTTATTTTTGCAGAATTTTGTATTCAAACTAGTGATAAAAAAGAGAGAAATATGGTTGAATCTTTTTACCACATCTCTATGGTTTCCTCCAGTCATTCTCTCCCCCAAATAATGAAAATTGCAGGTAATTCATAAGAACTCTGTAATAGAAAAGCACTACTATATAAAACATTGCTTACCATAAGCATAAATTATTGACATTACCATATCTACATTTCATGAATTTTTCTAGCCATCTTCTGCTAGCTGTAAACACATATTTTGTTTATCATTTTGATCTAACTGGGTGAAGATTTCTTTTGCTTTGTCCATCACCATTCATCTGGAGAGAGTTATTTTTTTTATCACTGCTCACAGAACCTTTTCTTATAATTCACTGATCTTGCATCCTCCTCCTGCCAGCCTCTTTGCTTCACTCTTATTCTTGATAGTTTTAAGAGTTGTGCTTGCTCTTCCACCTGTGAATTCACTCTGGATTCACTTTGAATTTCTGTGCTGTTGCTTCTCTAGTGTCCTTTTGCATATGCAACTGCCTTCAGTTTGAAGGCTATGCTGTAAGACCTTTTGGTTTTCATTGATCTATGTAAAATGAAGCATTTGAAACAGAAAATACAGGAAGATGCACTCACTCATGTGTTTATTTATAGTTTACTTCAGTTGTGCCCATTGTTGTTGTAAAAGCATTTTCAAGGCTTCCTATGGAAAAATTACCACAGCATGTACAGACATTCTTAAGCTTTATGAACTGCATGCAGGAATTTAACAATACCCAGCATCTATGTAACAGTTTAAACTAGATAGCTGGCATTTATAGAAGACCAGCATCTATTAGAGGATTTATGGTATGTTGTTACAGCTATTTTGACATTTCAAACTTCTCGATTAGTAAGAATGGATTCTCAGTATTATTGTTTGACTTTCATAGGTATATACCAATACTTCTATTACAGTGATGACTGAAAAAATTCTTTTTTTCAGCTTCATATCAGAATTAATTTTGGCTCTGTTTTTGTACTTTAAATATGGTAAGTTAAAGCTAACCCATCAAGTATGTATGGTACTTTTCTATGAATTTTGAAACTCAAAAAAATATCTTAAAGTATGCAAAAATGGTAATTGAAATATATTTCTTTAGCTCATGCAAAATTATCCATAAGATTTTGTGACATACTTGATATCAACCATGATAATGGAACATGTCATTAATATTTGTGTGTAGGACATACGACAGTTCATGCGACTTGCTGTTGTGTGATCAGAAAATCACGTGTGCATTCCTAGGCTAAGATTAGGACTGTTGCATGTTTTTAATCACTGCAATTATTTAGTAGGAGGCCCTGATTATCCACTTCTGATGAAAACTGGAAGTTATGTTATTTCAATTCAAAAAGTTTCCCTTATTGTTATTTCAATTCAAAAAGTCATTGTCATATTTGTTTTGAGTAGCTTGTATGCTATGCAAATCAAAATTATGTGAATCAAAAAGTCATCTATATAACACCTTTCAGGTGTTATATAGATGACTGGCATGATTCTATTGTTAACTAAAGGAAAAGTATGATATACAGGGGCAAGCCATTACTAATTTGAGGTGTAGAGCATATATTTTAAATCAAATAAATTAAAAATAGGATTAAAAATTGCAGCCTGGCATTGTCATAATAAATAATAGCTTGTCTTTGTTTTAAAATTTAATGGTGATTAAGTTTTTATATCTGCTTCTAGTCTTAGAACTTATGAAATAAGTCCTTTTGAAATGTTTTCACTTGGACACAAAGAGACTTTTTTTAACTTTTCTGTTTTATTAAATATGCATTTCAGCCACTTATGTTCCACTTCAATTTAAAGTTCTTTTACAAATTTATTGAAGACTATATATTAAATATACACTTTTTCTTTTCTTTTATTACATTATCTCTTTTATTGGTTTTATCTGAGACAATTTTAAAAAATATATTAGATCTTTGCTGTTTTGATTTTCTGAAAAGGAATTTTTAATTTTAGAAACTCATTTTTTCCCCTTTAACAGTTTTTTGTTTTATTTTATACAAGACTAGAATTTTTCATTTTTCCCTTAAAATGATTTAGAGATCTTGTTATATTTTATTAGTGAAGTATAGGTTGCATCTTTACATCTATATTCTGGGCTACTATGATGTTTATACGAGCTATTATATAAATTCATTATTTTTCTCATATATTGAAAGTTGGTCAGATGACTGAGCAGTATAGACCATCACTGCTAAGGATTTGGGATCAAATTCTGTTCAAGATTGCTGAAAAAATTTTTCATGTGTATCTTCTCCATCCAACATCCATACTACACCAGTGGCTAAGCAGACTCGATCTCTAAACAGTAGTAATCGATTTGGGTTTGTGCTTGGGCCATCAGGCTGGCTGGTGCATTTTTCAGGTTTTATTTACATCAATAATGCCCAAATAGGGGCCACTTTTCCTTAAAACACCACCTGAAAGACACATTCCCTCAATTGCAGATTGTGTTGCATGCCAATATCTAAAATTAATCAATCAATCAAACTAGCATATTGAAAACATTATTTGCTTTTTGAGTGGTTTATATGCTGTTCAGTTTTAATTTTTTTCACATAATTTTGATTTGCATAGCATACAAGCTACT